GAGAACTGCGACTGGAAAAAGTTTGCAGCCTTGAGAAGAACTTTTCCCTATCTTGGTCCAATTCTTCCCTGGAATTGTCTATTCTGCTCTGTATAATTTTGCAAACCTTGGTCTGTTCCATGTACCCCCTTTCTTCATTGGGGAAGGCAAGTTGGTTAGTTTGTCTACTTAGAGCCCAATGCCAGATAGTCCTCGGGTTAAGACCACAATTGGAACTAGAATTTCCAAGGCACTTATTAAGTGAGTCATGTCTAATTTTATGAGCTTTTTTTTAACCACGAATTACTGCAATTAAGTGAATTGCTTGCGGTCATTAAATGAATCCAGCTTCCCCCGTTGACTTTGCTTCTTGGGCGCTGGCTGGGAAAATCACAAATGGTGATCACGTGACCCAGGGATTCTTCAACCATCGTAATTATATACCCAGTTGCTAAGGAGCTGAATTTTGATCACCAAAACTGTTAATATATGTTACTAAGCCATGTGTGATACGCCATACGCTAAATAAATTGATCGCCATTCCGTGGAGATGCCACAGAGGTCATAATTGTTAGGACAGGTTATTAAGTCACTTTTTTCAAACTGTTGTAACTTTGAATGGATACTAAGCGAATTGTGTAACTTGAGGGACTATCTTTACTTCTGTGTCCATGCCATTCATGGTCCCTAAGAGACGTTGAACTTCCAACTCCCAGAATTCCTAGGGAGCAAGGCCGAAAGGAATTGTGGGAGTTGATATCCAGACGAACAGGAGGGCACCCGGTTCAGGAAAAGAGCGACACAGCAATCTGTTGCTCAATTGGATTATGTTTAGGTTTGGATTATAATCCTGTTTTTCCTGTTGCTAAGTTGCATGGGTTGCTTGACGGGGAAACACAAGGTGCACGGTCCTCAGCCAAATGTAGAAACCAACATCTCTTTCCATGGTGACGCCGGCAACCTTTCAGTTTTTTCTGAAGCTCTTTTTGCAAATATTTGAGAATCCAATCACCTCCTCAAACGGGAATGTGAAGCAGTTTCAGAGGAGGGCTGTTGTATTGACTGAAGCTATGTATGCCTGAAAGAGAGGAAAGATGTTTTTGTAATTTCCACAAAGAACATATCTTTCAGTTTTGGATTCCCCATATCCCTTGTCGATTCTTTCCCACAAATTTCTGGTCTATATGATACTGCATCTCCGTTGGCTAAGTTTCAATGGAGGGTCCTTGATGTTCTCTGCGTCTAGCACTGATGATGTTACTTAGTTCAGGTAAGGAAACATCTGCAAGAAAAGAACCATGCCTAGAGAGCACCAAGGACAGAAGTGTCTTCCTCCTGACCCCCTTCCTCCTCCTCCTCTCCACAAATCCTACTTCCTTCTGGCACTGATGATGTTATCTAGTTTTGTCACGAAATGTCTGCAAGAAAACGATCAAGCTCGGAGAGCACCAAGGACCCCACAGTCCTCTTCTCCCACCTCCTCCTCCTCCTCCTCTCTGCAAACCCCTCTTCCTCCTAGCACTGATGATGTTATCTAGTTGGGTCACGAAATGTCTGCAAGAAAACCACTAAGCTCAGAGAGCACCAAGGGCCCTTGAATTACAAATATCCTCCCTTTTTTTGAGGAAAAACTTCAATTATTTCCTGAAGGACAGTATTTTATGATGCTTTTCTACTCATAGATAGCTTCTGGGGATCTCAATAGGTAATGTTCACAACGTCTTATAACCCATAACCAAGCATTCTGTTCAGCATACTTTGCATATTGCTTTAACTATGGTGGGTTTGGCCCATGATGGTTGAAGACAGATGAAAACACAGTTACATGAAGGAGAGGCTACAAGAAGCAGTTAATCGAAGAAGTCAAGATGACGGAAGTAGTTGTGGCCATCATCTTGACACTCTCTTGACTTTTTTTGACTATCCCATGAAGATGACCCTTGAGGGTCACACATTATGGGCTTTGTAATACTTGCAGTATAGTTTTTGTGAGCCTGCATGCAAAATCATCCCATTTTAGCCTGGCTTTCTTGAAAGATGGCCTCCCTCAGATCAAACTTGACCAAGATTGTTGGCCTCGCTTGCTTCTTAATCCTCCTACAACAGACTCCTGTGTTTTCCTGAAAGAGGCAGGAGCTTAAGCAGCCATTACTTATTTTTTCTTCTGTGTTCTTTGGCAATGTGTGTTTTCGTCTAGATTTGCAGCTTGGGTTGTGAGTGCCCTCTTGTGGCCCTTATCCCCGGTAATACAGTACTCTTTTTCAGCAAGAAATTGAAATACAACGAACAAAAAGACTGTAACTTGACAGCTTCTCCTCAGTGTCAACTTGCATCTTCTAAGCCAGGGTGTCCAACCTTGACAGCTTTAAGACTTGTGGACTTCAACTCACAGAATTCCTCAGCCAGCCATGTTTGGTCTCCAACCTTGACAGCTTTAAGACTTGTGGACCAACTCCCAGAATCCCCCAGCCAGTCTACAAGTTTTAAAGTTGCCAAAGTTGGACATCCTTGTCCTAAGCTGGTTGGATTACCTGTGGTTTGCATCCACCATATCTTGTTGGGGGTCACACAATGCCACGAATAGTAGTTTGTAAAACCAATCTAAGCGAAAAGAAGCTACCTTATGGGATAATGTAAGGTGTGAACATACTCGGTTGGAGATCTGTCGTGAACCAACTCACTATTGTTGGCCTATCTGAAAAGATCTGCTCAGTTCCACTGGTTAAACATTGTCCTGTTACGCCCCAACCCTTGGTTGAATCATTAACTTCAGGAGGACAATAAAGATAATTTAATCATCAACAAATCTAAACTTCACTACAAATTTCTAAGATAAATTATGCAACGGTGAGAGTTATATTTTGAAAATCTGTAGATCACAATGTACTATGGGCTAACCATCAGGAAAAATAACTCAGCCCTTGCATTGTTCCAAAACCATTGTGTGAAGACAGATCATGGTATTTTGTTCAGCAAACTGGGATTAAGCAAACCATAGCTTGGGATGCAAGCAATCTAAGATACCAGACTACTTATGCCCCCCCCCCCAAAAAAATCCCAGAGGTGCCCCCAATTCAGACTTGGCAGCTTTTAAACCTATTTGGCTTTTAATAGGTAAGCAGTTACATTTGAATCCAGAATCACAGGAAAAATTAACATTGTGGTATAAAACCAAACCTGAAGACTTCAGGGAAGATAAACTCTTGAACACTTGAGTCAGACAGGATAAATTACTTAAATCGATTTATTTAGCATGATTGTTGTAAGGAGAGATGGTCTTGTGAATGTGATCTAGCTTTCAATTTCTCCTTTCGAAGATGTACATTTGAAACAGGAGCTGATGCTTTGTTTATGTTTACTTTAATCACCAAGAATATATGTGGTCTTTTTCTCATTGTCTATTAGGATTATTTTTTTTCCCCTGTTGACATTGTCGTGGTTTGTATTCCATGATTAAAAAAATATTTTTTTAAGAATTAAAAGGTGTGATTTCCTCGGCTCGTAGTGTTTATTGTGAAAACACACAGCCCACTTTTGCGAGGTAGGACCGCCATCGGTAGCGAGTTAAACATCAACCCGAGCACGAAATCACATGTCGTATGCCAACTCTTTGGAAATAAATCTCCAGTGTACATGTAAAAGGCAAAAGGTAGTTTTTCTATCACTCCAAAATAACACAGCTTTGTTGATGGGGCAGAGGTTGGCCAATTATTTTAATGTAACTTAGATGCAGCTTTCAGAAATTGTTCAGAAACAGCAAAAAGCAACTAACAAATCTCGGTCTGCATTAGAGATGGGAAAAATCCATAGATCCAGAAAAGGAACATTGTAGAGCCTTGTGCAGAAGAAAAAAAATGGAATATTCTACCCTTCTCTTCCAGAATTTCAGTGGTCTCTGGAAATTTGCTCTCCAAACTGGAAATCGTTTAACGCTAAGGATAAAACAGCCTTGTTTTGGAGCTGGGTCAACAAATGTTGCCCTCTGTGCCCAGGTCAGGCTGAAATTCTTAAAAGTCTTCTTATAAATGGGAAGGAAACCAAAGAATTAGGATCTTCCTTGACTTCTTGTGTTAGTTTTGAAGAAAGTGGACCTGAAGTCAAATCATTACAAAGGTCTAAGCTTCAACAGGTTCATCTTATCTTAGTTTCTCTTTCAGGTTGATTTGTCTTGCAGTCTAACAAAATCATGTGACAGCTATAAAAACAGAAGACCTGGCTAGAAGTATTTTAGTTGGGTAAACTTCTAGAGAACCACAAGTTCCTTATCTGCAGTTGTAAATAAATGTACCTTGTGGTTTTCATTTCTTTTGCACCAAGTGTGTTAACCCTCTTGATGGCTCTTCAGAAGAAAAAGTCAGTTAAAAAAAAAAAATTATGTGAAATTCTTAAAAAGGTGAGACGGATTGCACTTGTCTGCTTTTTGGAGGATCCATAAGAGACTTACTTCTCTTAATTGGATTGATGGTTGATAGGTTTGGCTGCTGGGTTGATGGTTTTATCTGTTTATCTTTATTTATTTTTGACTGTTTTTAGCTTGTCAGGGAGAGTTTTTAGCTGTTGTGCCATGCTGCCCGAAGTCACATGTTTGTGAGATGCAGAGCTATATAAACATACTAAATAAATAAAGGCATTGATTTATTGATACGATTTATTTAGCTGCCCATCTCGCACAAATAAATCAGGGTGGCTTGTAAGATTAAAACGGATGAACCCACCCGTTGCTTCTTGTCCTGCCTGCAGGCGCTTTGGAGAATAGCTTGACCCCCTCCTCTTTGGGGCAACCCCTGAGATATTGGAACGCTGCTATCATGTCCCCCCTCGTCCTTCTCTTCATTAAACTAGACATACCCAATTCCAGCAGCCGTTCCTTGTATGTTTTAGCCTCCAGTCCTCTGATCATCTTTGTTGCTCTTCTCTATACTTTTTCCAGAGTCTCAACGTGTGCACCTGATTTTTTTTTTTTTTGTACCTGACACTAGCAGAGTGAACAGCCCTAACATCTCTGTCTTTCCTCCCTGCAGTGTTCCTAACTCCTGCCCAGCTAGTCCCCGAGGTGCTGGTTCCTCAGGTTTTCGCTTTACCCACAACGTTACCTCTGACCTCCAACTGGCTGCCGAATACGCAGCAAAAGCTACTTTGGAGCAACAGACGGACGCCTCTGGGGGAGACAGCCCCAAGGTTGGAAGACCCTTCTCCCTCCCCATTTTGCAAAAGCCGGGTCAGTGGTCGGGAGGGTAAGGGGCATAGATAGCCAAGGAAGAGAGGAGGCCATCTTGGAGAAATCTTGGGTGAGTGGGATCTGGTGGTCTTCTCGTCCCCTAGTAGAGGTTGTAGAAAAGATGAGGGAAGCCAGGAGAGAGGACCAGCTTCCACGTCTTCTGCTCTCTCCCCTTGTCCTCTGCTGCTACACCCAAGTTGACCATCACCTTGGCCAAAAGGAGCAGAGTTCAAATCATCCAATGCCTCTTCATTCTCCATTGAGGAAGCAATATTTTGTGGTGACCAAAGGGTGAAGGAGACACTTCCAGGAATTCAGACCCACAATTGTGGCAGGAACAGGCAGAAAGCAACCGTGTGACCCTCCTCCCTTTCTCCAACCTGCTCACAACTGCCCCCTCCTGACTCCAAAATCACCTAGGGTTCAGATGGTTGAACTACCACCCCTGGTATGGCATTCAAACCAGCTTTCTCCAGCCTGGCACCCTTCCAACACGTTTCCAAGGCCAGCCTGGCCAAGCCTCAAAGCTCCTGTTGGATTTGAGCTCTTGATATTATGTCCAAAGCTGGCCTCACTCTGACAGACTCACGAGGAATCATTTTAAGGCGAGATTTCTCGAGCTATCTGTTAACTGCGCGGATCAATAATCTATTTTGTCTGGTATTACACGGTGCTCCGGGGCTTTGCTAGCAACTCTAAAAAGTCCACCCAGATTATTGCAACCACTAAAAAGGGTTTGCAAAACACAGTAGCAGCAATAGTGGTTAATGGCAAGCCTTTCGGCACCCTGTGGCTATTTGGACGTGCGTCTGAGGTTAAGAATTTCAAGTGTGTTTGCAGATCAAAAAAGCGGGGTCTTCGGTTTTTATTTTTATTCTCCCCCCCCCCAGTCCTCCTTTACCTTGAAAAGCAGCTGTTTAGTTGCCTCCCAACTTGTTAGACAAGCTCAGGTCTAAATTATTAATGATTTGCGAAGCTGCTAAAAAAAACCTCCCTTGCTCTTTTGTGTTTGTGTTTCTGGTCCGCAGGATGAATCCAAGCCACCGTATTCTTACGCCCAGCTCATTGTTCAAGCTATCTCGTCAGCTCAGGACAAGCAATTAACACTAAGTGGGATCTATGCTCACATTACGAAGCATTATCCGTATTACAGGACAGCAGACAAAGGCTGGCAGGTAAGGGATTCGGCACGACTCATCCCATGTTTATTTTTTATTTACTTATTTAAGAAAATGGATCTGGCCCTCCAACTCACGCTCAGTGACTCCAGGCAGCTTACAAAGATAAATCCCCAGTACAACAACGAAGCAATAATCTTCCACAACTCTCACAACGACAATCAAACCAGCCATTTGATGGGCTCCATATTACTCTGGGTTCCCCAAGCCCGTTGGCAGAAATGTGTCTTCAGGACCTTGTGAAAAGGTGTCAAAGTGGGGGCCAATCATATCTCTGCAGGGATGATGTTCCACAGGGAGAAAGCCACCATTCCAAATTCCCTTCTTCTGGGTCCCTTTAGGCCCTTTATGACTGTGGCCCTTTATGAGCTGTGGACTTCAACTGGCTGGCTCAGGAATTCTGGGAGTTGAGGTCCACAAGTCTTAAAAGTTGCCAAGGTTGGAGACCTTGGCTGAATTCAGAGAGTTGAAGGCCACAAGTCTTAAAAGTTGCCAAAGTTGGAGAGCCTGGCTGAGGAATTCTGGAAGTTGTGGTCCACAAGTCTTAAAGTTGCTAAGGTTGAAGAGCCTGGCTGAAGAATTCTGGAAGTTGAAGTCCACAAGTCTTAACATTACCAAGGTTGGAGACCCTGGCTGAGGATTTCAGAAAGCTGAAGGCCACAAGTCTTAAGGTTCCCAAGGTTGGGGACCCTGGCTGAGGAATTCTGGGAGTTGAAGTCCACAGACCATAAAGGGGCCATAGTTCCAAACCCCTGCTTTAGATTGTCTTTCTTAAGAGAGGGGACCTGTAGCATACCTGCCTCCCCACTCTGGTGGGTTGGGTAAATAGGACTAGGAAAAGATGTCTCAAAGGTGGTTTTGTTGTGGTTTTTTTTTTTTCAACAGGCAACTGGACTTCCTTTGTTTTTTCTTTGAAGACATTTGGCTTCTCGTTTCCTTGAAGAAACGTCTTCAGGGAAAAAACAAAGAAAGTCCAGTTGCCACTTGGAAGAAGAAGAAAAAAGCAGTTTTGAGACAACCATGACCTGGATGACTGAGAATCACCACAGACACAACTCGGAAAAGATGGTCCTTCAAATAACCTGACCTCACGCCATGTAGGGCTTTCAAGGGGACAAACAACACCTTAAATTGGACCTGTCAGTTTTTAACCGTAAAGCTTGGATAACCCGTTTTTCTCCTGCAGAATTCCATTCGGCACAACCTATCCTTGAACCGATATTTTATTAAAGTCCCCCGTTCTCAAGAAGAGCCGGGAAAAGGCTCCTTTTGGCGGATAGACCCTCCCTCTGAAGGCAAGCTAGTGGAGCAGGCATTCCGAAAACGGAGGCAAAGAGGGGTGTCCTGCTTCCGAACCCCATTTGGACCTCTCTCTTCCCGGTAAGTTCATTGTAACAGCCAGAAACCCACGCTTACCACTGCCTAATTATAAAAAAAAATTGGCCAAGAGGATGATTTATCCAAACAAAAATTTAAAGGTTAAAAAAATTAAAAAACAGAAACTTAGATCCAACAATAGAAGCCATGACTATTTCCAGTTTTCTTCCTGTAGCCAAATTTGGGGCACAACTCTCTGATATCGGAGGGAAAGGGGCTTGCTGTGTTTTGCTCAATTGAGTAGAGAAAGTGAGGTCAGTAAGATGCTATGGACTAGCTACCTAGTTTAGTAAAATAAAGAGAGAGGAATGAATACAAAATGCTCTCTGTCAACCCTCCCAACCTGGTCAGTTAGAAGAGAAAGACCCTCAGATCCATTGTTAACGAAAGTTCACTTTACTAAAGCCAAGTGGTTACAGAAGAAGCAAAGCTGGAGCTGAAGTTTTCCTGCCCAAAGCATAGAGATAACTTTTTCCTTGTTCCCACTTTCCTCCCTAACAACTTGTTTGGGTAAGGGTTCCTGTTTTCGTGGGCTGGATGGCTCTGCAATCCATAGTTTGACCTTGGAACCACCGCCTCCTTGTCCCACCCTGCAGCTCCCCCTCCCATTGAGTGGCAGGCTGAGAGCAAGCAATGCATGGCGTAGCAGGATGGCAGTCCTGACACACACTGCCATTGCAAAGAATGTTTGCTTTGATTTGCACTCTTCTCCGTTCTCTTCCAGGAGCGCCCCCGCCTCCCCTACTCATCCCGGTCTGCTTTCTCCCCACACGAGTGGCCTACAGACTCCAGAGTGCATGTCGAGAGAAGGCTCCCCGATTCCTCACGACCACGACTTTGGTGCCAAGCTAGCTTCTGTCCCAGAGTATCGGTATTCACAAAGTGCTCCTGGTAAGGATGCCTCAGGTGGAGAGGTGGGCTCTAACCAGCGTTTCTGCCGGCCTGATAGGCTCCTGGATGGAGTAGGCGCAAGGCAGCAGAGGAATATCCTGCAAAAAAACATCCCAACAGAGTGCCCCAGTTTTTTCACATGTTGAGAATCGTCAAGTTTGGAGAAACTGGTTCTTGGTTTTTAGTGGAATGTTGTTCTCAAAATTTGTTTAACTTTATTTGTGAATTTTGGATTTGAATCTCCTGTTGTAGCCATTGATGAGTCTTTTCTTCTTCCCTCCCTCCCTCCCTTCTTTCCTTCTCTTCCCCTACCTCCCTTTTCTCTCTCTCTCTGTCCCTCTTTCAGGATCCCCCGTAAGTGCCCAGCCGGTCATCATGGCTGTTCCTCCCAGGCCTTCAGCGCTGATGGCTAAACCACTCGCCTACCTGCCCGCCTCCATCGTGACCTCTCAGCAGCCTCCAGGCCACGCAGTCCACGTGGTCCAGCAAGCCCCCACTGTTACAATGGTCCGAGTTGTGACGACTTCGGCAAGCTCAGCAAATGGATACATCCTGACCAACCAGGGGCCAGCTGGCAGCACCCATGACGCGGCAGGGACTGTCCTGGACTTAGCTGGTGAGCTTCAGGGTAGTAGCTTGTCCACAGAATGGCAGAGATCCTCGCTTAACTCAGGGCTAGGCAAATTTCTCCAGCTTTCTTTCAGGCTGTTTAATTAATTGGACACTCAGAAATAAATGTATGGACATCAGAAGAAAACTAAGAATACAATCACAATTGAGCCCAAACTCTTGGTTGTTAAATAAATAAATTTCTAAATTTCTCTCTCACTGCAGGGCTGGATGAGAAGCCCACCATTGCATTTGCCGCCATACCAACTGCCAGTCGGGTCATCCAGACAGTGGCCAGCCAGATGGGTCAGGGCGTCCCTGGACAGACGGTCACCATCTTGCAGCCAGCCACCTCCATGGCCCTTGGGCAGCACCAGTTACCTGTCCGCACAGTGACCCAAAACGGAAAGCATGCCATTCCCACGAACAGCCTAAGCAGTGGGACTTATGGTATATATACAAATTCTCCTTTATTCTCCCAGGGTTGAGCTGCCTTTAGAATCTTTCTGCAAAATGAGCTTGCTCAACTTTGCAAAACCCCAACCCCCGGACTGTGACCCATTCCCAGACCGTGGCCCATTCAGAACCGGGCCGTGGAAGCTGCACTTGCACAGAAACCGGGTGCACACACACACACGTGAAGCTCTGTTAGCGCGAGTGGCCGCGTGTAATTATTTTGAGTCATTGAATTATTAAATCCTCCCACAGTGTGTTGCCCAAGGGCAAGTTGTCCGTGGCGAGTGGGATGCAGCAAGTTGTCCCATTCTGGCGCTTGCCCACTAGCAGTTGAAAAGCATGCAAATGCGAGTAGATGAATAGGTACTACCTCAATGAGAAAATAGCAGTGTGGCGTAGACTCATCCTGGCCACATGAAATAAATGTCTTCAGACAGTGCTGGCTCTCTCGGCCAAGAAATAGAGATGGGCACTGCCCCCAGAGTCGGACACAACTTTCATCTACATAGACCCTGTCAGCTTTTCTAAAGTCCTTTCTCTCTTGTCCCCCCCCCCCCGGCTCCAGCCCTCACCAATCCCTTGCAGGTGCTTGCGGCTCAAGCCAGTTCCTCCACCCCTGTGGTCATCAGCCAGACGAGAGAAGCCGGGCTGAAAGATCCTGAAGAGCTTTTGAGAGAGCCTGAGGTCAAACGACCTCGAATGGAAGACCCCAGAGCGGCGTTGCAAACTGGTGTCATCACATCCACAGCCCCCTCCGGACAATCCGCTGGAGAATGAGGCCGCAGAAAGATCAAGAAAGGCACCGAGGGAGAAAAATCTCTCTTTTTTTTTTTTTTTTTTTCTTTCCTAGCAGAAATCTTTTCTTTTTGCAGCTGTTAACACCTGGATCATTTCAGTGGGGTTGGTTTTTTTTTTTTTTTTTGGTTTTTTTTTTGTGCTTTCCTTTTTTAAAAAAAAAAATCTCCTTTTGAACATTTTGAAGGACAAGCCAGCGTTTGTCAAGATTGTCGAGGTGCCAAATGAATTGGGCAAAATCTCCCATCGTTCTGGACCCATGGAATTAATCCTCTTCTGCTTTTTATTTTGGAGACATCCTCCTGCCCCCTTCTTTCTTTCTTTCTTTCTTTCTTTCTTTCTTTCTTTCTTTCTTTCTTTCTTTCTTTCTTTCTTTCTTCCTTCCTTCCTTCCTTCCTTCCTTCCTTCTTTCTTTCTTTCTTTTCTTTCTTCTTTCTTTCTTTCTAGATTTAAAAAAGAAACGCAGACCGTTTTGATTGTTTGGGATATTTTTCTATCCCTCCTCGCCTTCCTTAATTTCATCCCTTCCTTGTTTTCCTTTAAGCATGGTAGTTTATATGTGAGCGTACTAAAAATGCCGGACAGAGACACGAACTTCAGGTGGGAACGTCTGACCTCAAAAACAGGTTTATTTTTTACTTTTTTTCACTCTCCAAGGAAGACAAGCGCGTCCGGTTTGTATCTCGGAACTCCAATTTATGAAAATTATTTGCAAAAAAAAAAGAATTATTTGCAAAGCAATATCACACTTCGGTAACTGCCACCTAAAATGGCAGAAACTTTATATTTCCTTCTTGTTGCCTACATGCAGTACAACTCATGTTCTGACAATGGGGAGTCACATCCCTGTCCAAAGTTTTGATCTCAGAGCACAGAAAAATCAGTTTATCCCAGTTAGATGGCTTCCCAATGCATTCGAAGCCTAAACTTCCCAGAATTCTTAGCCTACTGGACAGATGGGGGGATTCTGGGAATCGCAGTCACAGCCTACCTCATTGGGATGGCTGACCTACACAGCACTTGGCCCCCACAGGTGCCTTTTGGAGAAAGAGAGAAAAGTTTATTTCAATCCTTTGAAAATATTGTCTGTTCAATGAAAACAACCAATTGTGATAAGAAGGTCTGGAATTTGTGGATCTTGTTAAGAATTGTCATACCTGCAGGCTTGTGAAACAACCAAGTGGGTTCCTTAATTTCATTCCTGTTGATTTTGAGAGAGAAGGAATAGAATTTTTTAACATTTATAACCTTTAAGGACAGTTCCCCGGAGCTCTCTGTTGTGTTACGGTTCGAGCGTTGGACTTAACATCTGGAGAGACCAGGTTTAAAAACATGAAACTCCCTGGGTAAACCTTGGACCAGCCATTGTTTGTTTCAGCCTAACCTACCTCACAGGGATGTTGTGAGGACAAAGGGGAGGGGTGAGGAGGAGAGCTATGTATGCCACTTTGAGCTTGGAGGAAAGGCAGAATTAAAAAAAACGTAATAAATCAGTAACCATCAACACGTTCAGGTCACACAATCCCTTGTCTCACTTTGGAGTGTAGGAGTTTTTTGTGTGTGTGATGAACAAGACAGGAATCTCGATCCGTTTTCCTCTGGTAAGTTTTGCAAGCCGGTAACCCTAGCGGAAATTTCTTTAATGGCAGGTTTGGGACCGTCCCCGATAAGGACGAATCCCAAAATTGAAGGTGAAATGGAACGGAATCCCCTTACGATCCACTTCACAGGTGAAACGGAGTCCAAGTTATGAGAGCTCCAGTAAGACAAAATCGAAACACAAGGAGTTGTTAATATTTAAATATTTATTAATAACATTCATTATTTCGGTGCTAATATGGGAATGATAGTAATATTTAAATAATGCAGGCTTCCCTCTTTCGTCTGACTTTAGCAGCCCTTTGATATTTAAAAAAAATGCACCCCTGATGAACATCATGGAAGAAAAGAAATAGCAGGAAAAAGGTTTTAATTACTGTGGGTTAAACCGAATGTCTTCTCTGCAGTTTCTTTAAGCACTTAAACTCTCCATATGTTGGTTTACGTTTTCCCTTTGCAAATAATCATAGCCCGGAAGCTGTTTGCCCCCCCCCAAAAAAAGTCCCTGTATTATAATAACTTCAGTTCTCCAGAAGTTTGGCTGCTTCTGCGCGTCCTGGGATTTTTTCAAAAGTGGGAAGTTCATGTCAGGCCACAGAGGACCGTACCCCCGGTTCACATTTGGTAAATCAGAAACTCTTCCAAGCAAGCAACTTTTTTTTTTTTCTATTTCAGGCTGTAAGTCACGCCAAGCAAAGTTGCAAGAACAGGTCACGTCACAAGAAAAGAGTGTGATGGTCTTAATTTACAAGTGGACCATTAGCCTTTTATCTGACCCTTGGGTTCATCTGCAGCTGGCACAGGAATTTGCAGAGGCCCAAAGGCACATAAAAAGGGACCCGGGTCTCAATGACCCTACTTCCGGCAAACATTTATTTCCAGCTGATGAAGAGATGATGAGACATGTCTATGGAGTTTCTCAATCCTCCAGGTTCATGGTTGTCCCAAATGGGTTTTCCCCATTTCGCTTCTGACCCAGGAAGCTTCTTCAACCCAGAAGGAAGAAGAACTGAAGAAGCTTCTTGGATGAGAAGCGAAACGTTCTCAAAGAAAATAAGAAAGTCCACTTGATTTTTGGAAAAAGCACCTTTGGGACAGACGATGAGAAAGGGAAGTCCAAAACAAGTGAATTGAGTCCAGCTGGAACAGGAAGCTGTGAGAAAAAGCAGAGGTGCCCCCACATTTAACTGCTATAGGACAAGCCATAAGGTGGGGAGAGAGGGCCTGAGTCCATCCATGCCCTCAAAGCTCCATCTCTGACTGAAGTTCCCACAAACTGGGGACACAGTTCCTTGATACATGGAGATGGGAGATAAGTAATGGTTCCATCAAGTGTAAAAGTTAGCTAGCTGGCTGTCGAAAAAACCCAAATCCAACCTCCACGCCACCCCCAAAAACCTATGTCTCTGCACATACTATGAAGTTGGTCACCCAGAAAGTACTAAGGACAGATGCCGGCTGTCGTAAAGTTGAGCAGACTGGTGTTTCTTCTTAACACCAATGATTGATAAGTCTAGAGAGATGTTTTGCACTGGAGATTTTTGTGCTCAGGATCGTGTTTACTTTCTTCCCTGATCTTGTGAGATCCCATGTAAATTAGTTGCTGAGTACACACACTTTTGAGTAAACCCTAGTTTCCTTTAACCAGGGTTGGTTGAGTAACTGATGCAACTGGGTTGGAGAAGCTTCTGCAGAGCTGAAGTTGAGCTGGTTCTTTTGTTTTCAAAAGCACTTGTGAATTGATTGGCTGTTTTGTGTCACTACAAGATCTTATTGTGGTAATATTTGTTTTCTTGCTTGGGTGTTTGAAGCCGAGCAAGAGGCGTGTGTGTGTGTGTGTGTGTGTGTGTGTGTGTGTGTGTGTGTGTGTGTGTGTTGATGCCAGTTTTGTTTTCTTTGAACAGTTGAATCTTTAGGATCAACTCCAGATCTAACAACCTTTGGAAACCATTGAAAAGCAGATTATTTAGGAATGAATCTCTGCATATAAGCGCGCTGTTTCCTGAGAGTAAATATTTTTCTCAAAATGTCGACAGCCACATTCTTTGTATCTTGGTATATTTTGTTCATTGTTCCAGATATCCATAAATCAAAGAAAGGGTAACTTTCTGGCCTTTTCACACTTGCATTTTAACATTTTAATTTACAGATTGTTTATCACTGCTTATTATGTTTGCAGACTCCTGCCGTGCAGGTGATAACCCAGTTTTCATTTTTAATTGCCAAACGCCCTGGGTCGGAGTTCCTGAATTAATGACACAGTCAGCTTCAACCAAAATGTAAATGTCTCTGCTCTGGTGCTGAAAGACTAATGTGTTTGTGTAATGGAGCATTTACCCAGGCTGAATTTCTATCACCTTAAGTATAGGAAAAGGACTGACCCAGAAACCAAGCTGCGGTTTGCAACTTACTTGTACCAGCATTTCCCCCCCCCCTCTTGATTTCCATATCAAAAACACAACATTTTAATAACATCAGGGCAGAAAACAGACCTGAGTTGACTTGCTGACCTGAATTTGCATCAAGTTGTTGAAACAAAGTTGAGCTTATCGCAAGTGACAGCCAAGTTGTGTTGGATTTAATTTGCCCGGCTAGCTTCTGAGCTGAAAGCTAGACATTGCCATCTGTGGTAGAAATTGTTGCAAAGTGCAGATAGTCCTCAACGGCCACAATGGAGCCCCAAATTTCTCTTCTTAAATGAACTTTGCCCCATTATATGACCTTCCCTGCCCACGGTTGTTAAGTGAAGCCCTGCAGTTGTTAAGTTAGTGACACAGTTGTTAAGTGAATCTGGCTTCCCAAATTGACTTTGCTTGTCAGAAGGTCGCAAAAGGGAATCGCATGACCCTGGGATACTGCAACTGTCATAAGTACGTGCCAGTTTCCAAGCATCTGAATTTTGATCACCTGACCCCGGGGAGGCTGCAACAGTCGTAAGTATGAAAAATGGTCATAAGTCACTGTTTTCAGTGCCGTTGTAACTTGGAACAGTCCCTAAATGAACTGTTGTAAGTTTAGGACCACCTGTATCAATACAAAAGATTTATGTGCAATGAAGCAACGGGGTGATTAATGGATTGTAGCTAGTTTCATTATCTTTTTTTTTTTTTAATCAATTGTTCCACTGTCTGGGTAGTTAAATTACTGACCGAATTGGGACATTGCAGAAAATGTTCGGTTAATTGGCTTGACTTTAACCGAGCATGTGAATGTCGTCACACTTTACAAAAACAGTGTGCTCTTATTTTTGTATGACACATCATATTTGTCCTTTTTTTAACGCTGTGCTGGAGAAGCTGAATCCCAAGACATAGATAGGGATCCAGACAAAAGCCAAATTTGATTGAATTGACCTTGAAATGTAACTAAAATTAATTTTAATTGAATACAGTTAATGTAATTGCTGTTCATAGCCTTAACAATTTCCTTTCATGTTAAAAAGGATAAACTGGGAGTAAGCAGTGGTGTCCCCAAGCCTTGTGGGGGGTGGGTGGGAGGGGCAGAGATAGTTTTAAGATGCTGGATTCTGCGTGCCTGGTTTGTGCTAAGTAAATTATGGGAATCTCATACATCGCCATTTGTTCAACTAACGCCATGGTTAAAACGAATTACAGGGTGATGTATAAAAGAGATCCTGATCTCTTTATCACAGGGCAGTTGTAATAAAATTCAAGCAAGAGAGCCATGGCTATTGATAGAGAAAAGGCAGTTTAAAAGCATAATAAGAACAGAATTGGCAACTTGGGAAGAGAATAAAAAATAATTATCTAAAGGTGGATGCAGTTAGTAGAGAGGAGAGCTCTTTAGAGTGATCAGGTCCTTCAACCCTCCCATTTTCAGCAAAATTGGTGAATAATAATTTATATGCCACCTGACTTAGCCACGAGACAAAATTTATACAATCCCCTTTACTGTGTTGTCAGAACAATATTCTTTTGAATAAATAAGGTCTCAAATCATTTTGAAATATTTTTTTTTAAAAAAAAGAAAAAAGCAGACCAGATCTTTAGATAACCATCTTCCTAGGCTCTTAGTATACTGTGGCAATCTGGGAGGAATTTCTTCTTGTTGGGGAGAAAAACCCAGTAGTAAATTGTACGCAGTTGTCAAGTCACTTCCAAAAGAGTCCCATCTCCAGAAAGCATGCTTTGCATTTATACTGCCGTATAAATTCCTGAAAGAAGGGTTGGTTAGAGACATGACCAAAATATTCATGAAAAAAAATAGCCCAATATATCTCTTGGTAGGAAGTATTAGCATTTTTATTTTTATTTTTAAAAAAAGATCAATTTTCCCAGTATTTTTTTTTTAAATTCCAGGTGTATAATGCAAAAATACTTCTAGTGAGTTTTCTCTCCGTCCTTGGTGAGCGTTCACAAAAGTTGAATGGGTGTTCAGTCTCCCATCATGTCAACATCCAGGAAGAGAAGGTAGAGCTGAGGTGATTCAATCCATCTGGCTTGGAGAGATGATAATAATAACAACAACAGTTGGAAGGGACCTTGGAGGTCTTCTAGTCCATCCCCCTGCTCAGGCAAGAAACCCTAGAATGAGTGTTTCTCAAATTTGGGAACTTTTAAGATGTGTGGATGTCAACTCTCAGAGTTCCCCAACCAAGAATTTTGGGAGTTGAAGTCCACCCATCTTAAAATTCCCAAGTCTGAGAAAACTGCTAAAGGAAATGAGAATGGTGAAAGTGAAGGACAGGAGGTTTAATAGCAGCCTAGTGAATTTTCATACTTGATCTTCTTGTGAGATCTTCAACTAGTGACTTCCTTTCCATTATGTGAGAAGCTTTGTGCTTATTGGTAAGTTTATACTTTAAGCTTGCCTGTTATTACAGAGTTCCTGTCATTGCATGGGGTTGGGTAGCACAGCTATACAAATCCAGATTTGCTGGAGTATATAA